GGACGACGGCTAGCAGGTCGGCGGCGTCGGAGCCTTGGTCGGGGAAGGTGTGCCGCGCCAGCTTCCCGCCGACGCACGAGACACACGGTGGGTCGGCGCCCGTCGCCGACTTGAGGTCCAGCCCAATGGCGACCTCGTTCTTCGCTGAGCTCCTGATGGTGTCCATGCCGGCGTGCGCAAGCCGAGCATGCATCCTGGCCGGCGTCGACTTCGACTTGGAGACGATCGCCCGCAGGGCCACAACCTCCGGCGTGGGCGACGCCGACCTCGTTGTGCAGGGACGCAGGTCTGTGCAGAGGACTCGCCCGGAGTACGTCGCCCGACCAAGCACTTCTCCTGCTGCTGAGACAAGCAGCATCCCGTCGCCGTCCTCTTGAAACTTCACGCCATGCTCCTTCAGCTGACCAGACGACAACAAGTTTGCCCGCACACCCGGGACGTACAGCACGTCGGGAATGAGAACCTGCTTCCCGGCCTCGCCTTGCAGCGCAACCGTGCCCCGGCCCTGGACGTCTTGCAGCGCCCCATTGAAGCCACGCACGTGCTTCAAGTCGCCGCTCGGCCCCATGTCGACGAAGACGTCCTTGGTCCCCATCAGGTGGTGGGAGCAGCCGCTGTCCAGCAAGACCACCGCCGGGTTCGCCTGCACCGCTGCTGCCATCGCCTGGAAATCCTCTCCGGCCTCCGGCGCCAGTGAGACGGTCGGCTCCACGACGCCGACCAGAGAGCACGACGCCGACTTGTCGTTGCTCCCCTTGCCGCTAGCAGAGGAGTCGGCGTCCTTCGCCGAGGTCGACGACTTGGTCGACTGCTTCTCCTTGCGCGGCTGACTTCCTCCTCGACGAGATCGACGACTGCCAGACCTCCCGCGGCCTCCCTTGTCGTCGTCGTCCGAGTCACTGCGGTCGGGGCACTCGAAGGAGAGGTGGTCGGGGTCGCCGCACAGCCAGCACTCCCGACGTCGACTTCCTCCTCCCCGGCCACTGTCCTTGGTCGACTTCTTCTTGTCGACCTCCTTGGCCGACTTCGAGCCACCGCTACCACTGCCGCCAGACTGTCCACGCTGCCCCGGTCGACCGCCTTGCTTCGCCGGGGCAACAAAGTTTGCCTGCGCCAAGAGCTCCTGGGACCGCTCAGCCTCCTGCATCGCCTCGTCCTGCAGGATATACGAGGTTAGGTTGTCCTCGTTGAGCGTCGCCCTCGTGCTCGGCGCCATGGACAGCCGCTTCAACAGGTTGTAGCTGCTCCGGAGTCCCTGCATGACATGGGTGATGTACGACGCCGTCGAATACTCCGCACCGGCCATCCTGATGGTGGCGAGAATTCGCCGGGCCCGGTTGCAGTAGTCGGTCGCCGTCTCCTCGTCGCCCATGCGCAGGTGCGTCAGCTGCCCTTCAAGCTGGGCGATAAACAGGTCGTCGGTGACCTGGTACGTCGACTCAATGAAGTGCCACGCCTGGTGGCCGGCGTCGAGGTACTCCCTGCACCACTTCAGGGCGATCTGCACGCCCGGCGTGCAGCACCGCGAGATGACCGTGAAGGTCAGCAGCTGCACGGCGCGAAACTCCGCACGCAAGTCGGGGTCGCTCGGCGTCGCCACGGTACCACGAGCAAAGTTGATGAGCCCGGCCATCTCCAGCTGGGGCTCGATAGCTTCCTTCCAGGTGAGAATGTCGGGTCGGCCGACCAGTAGGGGAGTCACCGAGATCCTATCCGGCGTAAACTTGAAGTAGCCGTAGCTCGGTGCAATCCCGCCTGCTGTCACCTGGGTTGCCGACATCGGCACGGACCCACTCCGTCGACCTCCGACGTCGCCCTGCGAGGACCCTGCAGCCGCCGACGACCGCATTCCTCGCGTCTGAACGCCGCCGACTTCGTCGGCGTGAATCACACCACGCTGCCTCGACGTGCCTCCCGCACTGCTGCCGACTTGGTCGCCTCCAGCGTTGACGCCCACGTCGACGCCGCCCTCGGTGTTCACCGGTCGAGGAGAAGCAGGCCGAGAAGGGTGCTCCGTCGCCCACAAGGAACGGATGCCAGCCTCAACGACCGCCCACGGCAGGTCGCCATACTCGTTGGCCTCGTGCTTCCTCCTCGCGTTCTCCAGCCGTGCCTCCAGGGTATCCATCACCCCCGTGTCACCTACGGCGCCTACCATGGTGACTACTGCACAGCTGCCGGCCTACGAACAACTTAGGTAAGGTGCAACTAAGTCGACTAGACTGAAAGGTAAGTCGTTGTGCCGTCCACGCTCACCGCACCATGCGGAGATAACTCTAGTAACGGGAGCTAGACTACGGGCTAGGCACGTGTGCTCGTGTGATCTCTGCGTTCTCTGTTCCTTAGTCGTTTTCCTAGTGCACACACTGCTTGCTAGTTCACAAGGCAATTTGGCAAGAGTTTCACTAGAGAAAGTTGACAACAATGATACAATGAAGTTGGCTAGGAAAGACTACATCAGAGCTAGGATGCAAGCAGGTCGACTGCCAGCGCAGCACGGTCGACCGCGTGCCAGCACGACTTGGTCGACCGCGCTCCAGCAGTGCAGAGACGCGGCTTGCCAACGCTGCAGGTCGACGGCATGACAACAGCGCAAGTCAACGGCGTGCCAGCGTTGCTCCTGCAGTCCAGCATCGCACCCGCTTCGCAGGTGCTCGTAGGCGATTGGCGCGCACTGCTTCGTCACCTGCACAGCGCACACACCAAGTCCACCTCGTGCTGACGACCGCACCTCATCCGCCAGGTCGACCTCGGGATACCACCACCGAGGTCGTCCTCGCCAACTTCGCCTGAGCGACCTTCGCGTGCCTTCGCAGACCCTCGTCACCCAGGTAACCTGGTCGACCAGCCGTTCCCTTGCGTGCCCGTCGACCTCCCAAGTCGACGACCACTTTCGGTCGACCTCCCCAGGTCGACCACTGCCTCTGGTATGTGCCGGTCGACCTCCCAAGTCGACGGCTACCTCCAGTCGACCTCCCCAGGTCGACCACTACTCCCTGGTCGACCAGCTCTAGGTCGACGTCACTCCTGGTCGACCAGAGGGTCTGGTCGACGTCCCAGGCCGACCAGAAGAGATTGGTCGACTTCCCAGGTCGACCAAAAGGGCTGGTCGACTTCCCAGGTCGACCAGCCAAAGTTGGCGCCCTCCTGAAGTCGGCGCCCATGCAGTGGCTCCTCGTGCAGGTCGACCAACCTCGTCGACCAGCCCGCCCACTGCTGCAGGTCGGCTGCACCCCTACATCCGACCACGAAGTCGGCTCCGCCCAAGCGAGGACGGGGCCAACACCCAACTCCCGTTGACAAAGTGGACGGCCTCAGTCGGCGGGAGAAGGTCGGTCAGGGCGAGGCAGGCAGCAGCGTCACGAGACTCCCACACGTCACGAGCGAGGAACCGGCGCTGGTACTCAGCCTCCTGCTCGGAAGTAGGCGGTGGGGTAGTGGGCAGCGGTGTAGGCTGCGGCGGGGCGGGCAGAGCACCGGACGCGTGCGCAAACAGGTGCACGCCATCCTGGCGCTGGCTCCTAAGGTGGCGCTGGGCCTGCGTCAGCCAGGTACTAAAGTCGATCGCGCGCCCCTCAGGGTCGAAACGGAGCACGCGAGACGTCGCCATGAGGGGCGAGAACAAGCGATAGCGGCCGCCAGCCGCGAGAGGAGGAGGAGAGGGAGGTGAGTGCGAGGCGGGTGCGCGCAGGCGGGGCGCGTTCTGGCTGGGCGCGGGGCGGCGGGGCGCGCGCTGGCGGGGCGCGCTCCGGCGCGGCGCGCTGGCTGGCGTGGCGCGCGGGCGCGGCGCGCTGGCGGGCGGCTAGGCAGGGCGCGCGCTGGCGGGCGCGGCGCGCTGGCGTGCGCGCTGGCGTGCGCGCTGGCGGGGCCTGCTGGCGCGGCGCGCTGACGGGCGCGCTAGCTGGCGCGCCGGCGTGCGTGCTGGCGGGCGCGCTGGCGGGCTCGCTGGCGGGCGCGCTGGCGAGCTCGCTGGCGGGCGCGCTGGCAGGCGAGCTGGCGGGCTCACTGGTGCGCCCGCTGGCGTGCGCACTGGCGGGCTGGCGTGCAAGCGGGCTGGCGCGCGGGCTGGCTGGCGCGCTGGCTGGCTGGCGCGCTGGCTAGCGCGCTGGCTGGCGGGCGCGCTGGCTGGCTGGCGCGCTGGCTGGCTGGCGCGCTGGCGGGCTAGCGCGCTGGCGCGCTGGCGCGCTGGCTGGCTGGCGCGCTGGCTGGCTGGCGCGCTGGCTGGCTGGCGCGCTGGCTGGCTGGCGCGCTGGCTGGCTGGCGCGCTGGCTGGCTGGCGCGCTGGCTGGCTGGCGTGCGCGCTGGCTGGCTGGCGTGCGCAGTGGCTAAGGGCGGGGAGGAGAGGGGCGCGCCGGCTGGGGCGTGGGGTAGGGCGCTGGCGGGCTGGCGGGGCGCAGTGGTAGGGACGGGCGGGCCTAGGGCTAGGAGCGCTAACCTACTGCTGATACCATGTCAGAATGAGAACTACAGCGGAATGTGTTGCATTGACAGAATTGGGGTACATAACCTAACCCTAACTAGTTGTACCCCATATAGCCCAACCCACTACAGGCTATAATATTTGACACATGCCATCTATAGTGTGATTGGAATGACTGTTGTGATTCATCCTCATGCTTTGTCTTCCCCATCCTTTCTTCTCCCTCTCTCAGGTCTGTCAAAGCAACATACTCAGCTGGTTGCCACCTCACTAGATGAGAGTGTGCTCGTACTAACGTGGTCATGTACATGCTACAAACTAGTGAAGAACGGACAAACCTATTTGGATAGGCAGGTTGCAAGACTAGATGAGAGTGTACTTGTACTAACGTGGTGATGTATATGCTACAGACGGGCGAACCTATTTGGATAGGCAGGTTGCAAGGAGGCGCAAGCTGGCAGCGCGAGAGGGGAATTACAGCAAGTACAGCACATGTTTATATCCTTATCAACAGTCTTTGATGAATTTTCTTTGAAGTCTACTTTTCTTGAGTCCTTTTCTAGCGGATTTGGTTACAGAAATGAAGCCAAAGATGTTTTGTCCCCACTCGTTTTTCCCGCCACTCTACCCCGCTTCCCGCCTCGCGTTCCTCTTGTTACGAATCCAGATCCTTCGCCACTGTATCGCTGCTGCCCTAGCCGTCGTTGCACCCAACTCCTGCCGTTTCTCTCCCCACTCCCCGGTACACTCACCGTGTAGTTTCTTTCCCGCACCACTTTCAACAAGCCCAGCTAACTCGGCAATCTCGCTGTTTTTCCGTGCATAATTCTTTGGGCTTGCCCGAGGTAACTGTTCAAGCCTGCCAGGGAGGGAACAACAGCATTGTTAAAGTCAGCTTGGGAAAAACGTTCATGCACGGAGGGCGCCACTGCTGAACCTTCCATTCCCCTCCTGAAACCCTAACTTGCAATTACCCGTTTGCAGTGTTCAATAGCAAGCCCTGCAATTACCCACAACAAGGTGTCGTGTGTCTGACGACAACATGGACTGTTGGGCTCCTGACTTAAGCAACGGTTAGCCAGGGTGGCTGGAACGTCGCGCGAGGCAGGCAGCACATCGCGCGATGGAGCTTCCGCCCGATGCCCGGCGGGGCAAGAGCCGCGCGGCGGCCGTGAGCCCGTTGGTGCTGCGCGAAATCGTCGCCGTGCGACGCGCGCATCCCGAGCTCGCGAACGAGCACATCGCGACGGCCGTCAACGCGCAGTACGGCACGCGCCTCGGCAGCAGCGACATCGATCGACTGTACCGAAAGGCCACCGTCGAGAGCAGCGTAGGGAAGAATAAGTTCGTTCGTTATAAGAACGCGGAGCTTGAGGCGGAGTTAGCGCGGTGGACGCGCGAGAGGCGGCTCCGTCTCGAAGCAAAAAGGGCGGCGCGGGGGAAAGGGGAGGTCCCGAGGTCGAGCATCGTGGCCTACCTGCAGAATTACGCGCGGCGCGTCGCAGAGCGGTTCGGCGTGCCTCCTCTGTTCGAGTTCGAGCGCTGGTGGTGCTGCGAAGTGCTGCGGGACGCGGGTCTCGACGAGTGCGGCGAGGAGGTGGGGACGCGCGCGGGGAACGAAGGGGGGACGCGCGCGGGGGACGAAGGTGGGGCGCGGAGGAGGAACGAGGCGGAAACGCGCGACGCGCAGGGGGAGAAGCAGGACGACCGCGTCGCACGCGATAACGGAGGGGCGCCGGACTCCGCTAGTGCTGGCGAAGGCGGCTTAGGCGGCGCTGCGGCAGGCGAGGTCAGTGCGGGCAGAAGCGGCGGGGGGAATGAGGGCGGAGAGGCCGACGAGGCTCCGCAGGTACCTGCGGGCGCACCGTCGTGGGCGCGGGGCAGTGCCGCCGCGGCGATACGCTACATCGGCGCAAGCAGCAGCATAGCGCCTTACGACGGGTCGGGCGCGCCGGCGGGCGCGACGGCGGGCGCGGGCGCGGCGAGCGCGGGCGCGAGCGCGCTGGCGGCGCGCGTGCGGTACGAGGTGGCGATGCTGGCGTGCGTGCGGCCGTTCCTGAGCCCGCGGATCGTGACGGCCGCCGTGCACGCGCGCTACGGGCTGTGGCTCATCCCCAAGCACGTCCGCTACATCGTCCAGGAGAGCCGCCGCTGGGTGCGTGCGGGGGACGCGGGGGGCGCGGGGGGCGCGGGGGGGGGAAGCGCGCCGGGCGCGGCGGACGCGGGGGAGAGCGCGCTGGAGGAGGCGGTGGCGCTGTGGGTGGTGGCGGAGGAGGAGGGTGCGGGGCGCGCTGTGAGCCGCGCGCAGCTGGTGGGCAAGGCGAGGGAGCTGGCACGGGGGTGTGGCGTGGAGGAGGGGCGGTGCACCGAGGCTTGGGTGAGCAGGTTCGTGCGGCGCTATGGGCTGCTGCTGCTGCGCCTCGCTGAGACTCGCCGGGGCGCCGCCGGGGAGGGGGCTGAGGGGGAGGGGAGAGGAGTGGGGAAGGGGGAGGGCGGAGGGGCGGGAGGTGGGAGTGGGAGTGAAGCGGGGTGGTGGAGGAGAGGTAGGAGGAAGCTGAGGACGAAAGTGAGGCGGATGGGAACGGCGAGTGATGATGAGGATGCGGAGGGGGAGAACTTTGAGGAGGAGTTTGAGGAGGACTGGGCGGGGTACGACGGCTGCCACTCTGCTGCTGCCGCCCCTGCTGGCGCTGCTGCCGCTGCCCCTACTGGCGCTGCTGCTGGTGCTGCTGGTGCTGCCCCTGCTGCCGTTGCTGCTGGTGCTGCTGGTGCTGCTGGTGCTACTGCTGGTGCTGGGGCGAGCGTGAGTGCGAGCACGGGGTGGGAGAGGGACAGGCGGATGGGGCTGCTGCCGGGGGTGGAGAATCCGTACCGCCATGCGCGCGCTCTGCTCATGCGCCTGGCACGGCAGGAGGGCGCCATGCTGCCCGCCCACGTGCTGGAGGAGGCGCTGCTGGACGCCCACCTGCTGCCCCCCCCGCCACCAGCGCCACCCCCATCATCTCCGTTGCCAGCAGCACCAGCAGCGCCAGCAGCACCAGCAGCACCAGCAGCACCAGCAGCACCAGCAGCACCAGCAGCACCAGCAGCACCAGCAGCACCAGCAGCACCAGCAGCACCAGCAGTGGGCCGTGAGGAGCAAGTGACCTCTGCAGTGTCACGGGGAGAGACGGTGGAGAGGCAAGGGGAGGCAGACCTGGGGCGAGCAGGGGATGGTGGCGGTGGGAGAGGGGAGGGCGCAGTGGGTGGCGCGGGGCAGTCCCCATCCCCGTCCCCCTGGCATGATGATGCATGGCGGTCCGTGGCCCCCCTGCCCGCCATGGACAGCCCTGAGCTGCAGGCGCTGCAGAGGGAGGTGAGCAACGAGAGCAACGAGAGTAACGAGAGTGTTGTGCTGCCCCACTTCCACTTCCTCCGCGTGCCCCCTGCTCTGGGCAGTGGTGGTGTAGGCGGGGGGGGAGGGGGGGCAGGTGGAAGGGGGAGAGAACGAGGAGGAGCAGGAGGAGGCGAGAGTGGCGGTGTGAGCAGGAGAGAGGAGGCCGGCGGCAGTGGAGAAGGCAGGGCGGCAGGGGAGGAAGAGGCGGAGGAGGAGGAGCAGGGAGAGGGGGAGGGGGAGGGCGGGCGGGTGTTTTTGGTGTGTGGGGATGCGGCGGCAGGCGTGGTGGGGGAGCGGCAGCTGCCAGGCGTCACGCTGAGCCGCATCAGAGCCATCTGCCTCGCCGCCCTCGCCCGCCCCCACCTGCCCCACGCGCACCTGCTGCACGCCATTGCCCAGGCATGGGGGGTGGAGCTCTCTCCCCTTCACCTGCGCGCCATCCTCGCCCAGACCACCAGGTGTGCCTCCCTCGCCTCGCCTTCTCCTCCCTTGCTCGCCTCCTCCCTTGCTGGCCCCCATTTACCTCCCTTTCACGCCATCTCCCAGGCCTTGGGGGTGTCTCTCTTCCATGTTGATCTCCTCGCCCAGACCACCAGGTGTGCCTGCCTCGCCCTCTCCCCCCCCCCTGCACGCCATTTTCCAAGCCTGCTCACTTGCCCTCCACCATCCCTGCCCTCCCACTTTCATCTCTGCACTTCCTTTACTGACCCCCCCCCTTTCTCCACACCCCCCTTCTCCTCACCCCCCCTTCCTTCCCCCACCACCAATCCCCTCCCCCACTCTCCCCTGTGTCCCCCGTCCCGCAGGTGGATGGTGCTGCCGGGGGGCATAGAGAGGGAGGTGGTGGAGGAGCGGGTGAGGGAGCGAGTGAGGAGGGAGGAGGGGCAGCGGGCGGGGCGAGTGGAGGTGGTGCTGCTGCAGTGGGTGCAGCAGCTCTCCGCCACCATCCTCCTCGACCGCGCCCGCTTCTCCTTCCCTCCCGGCTTCCACTGGGGCTCGCCTGTTGATGCTGCTGCTCAACCTGGCAGTGCTGCTACTGCTGCTGCCGGTGCTGCTGCTGCCGGTGCTGCTGCTGCCGGTGCTGCTGCTGCCGGTGCTGCTGCTGCCGGTGCTGATGCTGCTGATGCTGCTGCTGCTGATGCTGCTGCTGCCGGTGCTGCTGCTGCCGGTGCTGCTGCTGCCGGTGCTGCTCAGAGTGGTGGTGGTGGTGATGGTGGCTGTGCTGCTGCAGTTTGCGGGGTGATGGAGGAGCACATGAGGCGCCTCTTCGGCGCACTGGACCCGGGAGGGCCATCCGCACGGGTGGGTGGGAGCCTGCTGGGGAAGCACGGGGTGCCGTTCATTCTCACGCGCCCCATGCTGCGCCAGGCAGCGCGCCGCATCGCCCCGCTGCTGTACCGCAGCGGCAGGGGCTGCCCGCGCTTTGAGCTCAACTGGTGCCGCCGCTTCGTGTGCCGCCTCGAGGCTCTTCGGTCGCTGGCCCGCCTGAAGCTCAGTTATGGTGCTGGTGCTGGTGCTGGTGCTGGTGCTGGTGCTGGTGCTGGTGCTGGTGCTGGTGCTACAGATGGTGATGTAGCAAGTGAGCTGCAAGAGGAGGCGTGGCGAAGGCATTTCCTGCAGCGGGTGGAGAGGCATGTGCAGGAGTTGAGAGAGGTGGAGCGAGGTGTGAGAGAAACGCGTGGAGCAGATGAAACGTGTGGAGCAGATGAAACGTGTGGAGCTGATGAAACGTGTGGAGCAGATGAAACGTGTGGAGCAGATGAAACGTGTGGAGCAGATGGAACGTGTGGAGCAGATGAAACGTGTGGAGAAGATGAAACCCGTGGAGCAGATGAAACCCGTGGAGCAGATGGAACCCGTGGAGCAGATGAAACCCGTGGAGCAGATGAAACCCGTGGAGCAGATGAAACCCGTGGAGCAGAGGGTTGGGGGGAAGCTAGACTGCAAGCAAGAGGAGAAGCGGGAGAGGAGGGAAAGGGTGGAGGGAGGCGAAGTGAGGGAGGATACGAACGAGATGGGGACGAGGGAGGGCAGGGGAGAGAGGGCGCAACGGCTGGCGAGGTGCTGTTTGAAGAGGAGGCGGTGAAGCAGAGGGAGGGTGGGGAGGTGCTGTCTGAAGAGGCGGTGAAGCAGAGGGAGGGTGGGGAGGTGCTGTCTGAAGAGGAGGAGGTGAAGCAGAGGGAGGCTGGCGAGGTGCTGTCTGAAGAGGCGGTGAAGGCACCGGTGCCTGTGGGGGCAGCAGCAGACACTCCAGCAGCAGACACTCCAGCAGCAGACACTCCAGCAGCAGACACTCCAGCAGCAGACACTCCAGCAGCAGCAGCAGTGGTGGTGGCGGCGGTGCAGAGGGCGCTGTGTGAGTGGGTGGCGGAGGGGGTGGTGGCGCGGCGAGCAGACGAGGAGGAGGCGCGGGAGCAGGCGGTGGTGGTGGGCGCGGTGCAGGCGACGTGGGGCGTGGCGGTGGGCGAGCAGCACCTCGCCCTGCTGTGGCAGCAGCGGGATGAGTTGCTGGGGGACGGGTGGGAGGGAAGGATCAGAGCACGGCTGGCAGGTGCCGTGCAGCAGAGGGAGGGTGGGGAGGGGAGGGTGGAGGCGGGTGGGGAGAAGGGGGAGGTGAAGGCTGGGGATGATGGTAAGGGGCAGGTGGGGCAGGAGAAGGGGCAGGTGGGGCAGGAGAAAGGGCAGGTGGGGCAGGAGAAGGGGCAGGTGGGGCAGGAAAAAGGCGTCCATGGTGACCCCAGCGTGCATGGTGACCCCAGCGCGGTGCTGCTGCAGTGGGTGGCGTGGCGGGACGTGCGTGCGCTGCTGCAGGCACTGGACGGGCCGAAGTGGCACGGCAGGCTGCTGGCACGCACAGCATGCAAGGTGGATGGGGGGGCTGTATGCAGGAGCCGGCAGGACCACTGCACCGTGCATGCAGTGGTGCAAGGTGCATCTAGGACGGGCGGGGACGGGCGGGGTCAGCGCACGGTACATGTGGCGGCGGAAGGTGGATGCGGGGACGGGAAGGGCGAGCGGACGGTACATGCAGTGGCGGAGGTTGGACGCAGGGACGGGCAGGGTCAGCGCACGGTACATGCGGTGCCACAAGGTGCATGCAGGGACTGGCTGGACCAGCGCATGGTGCATGCGGTGGCGCAAGGTGTGTGTGGTGGAGATGGAGGGAACGGGAAGAGGAGGCGTGAAGGGGAGGGAGCATGGGTGCGATGCAAATGGCGAGGATGCTGGTACTTTGATCGCAGTGGGATTGCTGATGCTGATGCTGGTGCTGGTGATGATGGTGGTGATGGTGGTAATAATGATGATAGTGATGATGATGGTGGTGGTGGCAATGGTGGTGGTGTTGGTGCTGGCATGGCATCATGGCCACACAGCGAGCAACTAGTGGGAGCGCGACCCCACCCTGCAGGGCGGCAGTACAGCGCAGCGCCTGCCTGCCAGGCACGGCCGATTGCTCCCCGCCCCACCGCGCCCACGGCAGGTGCAGGAGCAGCAGTGACGGTGGGGGTGGGGGTCGGGCCAGTGCAGCACGGGCAGAACACAGCAATGGGTGCATGGGCATGGGGTGGCGCACAGGCAGCAGCAGCAGGCAGATGGCAGCACGCGCACTCCACACAGCTTGCAGCAGCAATGCCCGCACGCTCACACGCTCACACCGCACCATCATCTGCTGGCCCTGTGCCTGCTTCTCTGCCCCTGCGCTCCTCTCATGTGCAGGCGTTGCAGCAGATCCAGCATCTCGGGCAGCTGCTCGCAGCACAGGGGGGCTCTCAGCCCAGTCTCGCACAGCCCAGTCCCGCACAGCCCTGTTACCCGGGGTCCTATCCACCCACCTCGTACCAACCCACCTCATATCGGCCCACCTCTTATCGGCCCACTTCTAATCAACCTACTTCTTATCAGCACACCTCTCATCAACCCACTGCTTATCAACTCACCTCTTATCAGCCCACTTCTTATCAACCCACCTCCCATCAGCCCACTCCTTATCAGCCCAGCTCTTATCAGCCGACCTCTTATCAGCCGACCTCTTATCAGCCCAGCTCCCATCATCCCAGCTCCTGTCCTCTTGGCACACCCCAACTGAGTCGTCTCCACCATCCCTATGCTTCCCAGCAGCACCTTCCCCTCTCTCATGTTCCCTCCCCTAACCCTCCCCCCTCTCACCCTACCCTGTCTGCACGCGTTGGGGGTCAGGAAACGGGAAGGAGGGAGGGGAGAAAACGGAAGTTGCCCCGATTAAATCGGGCAGGTAGAAAGGTTCCGAAGGATGGGCGGGCAGGGAAACGGGCAGCAAAAGGATCAGCTTTTCAGAATGCATGGAAGATGCTGATGGTGCAAGGGGGTGAGGAGGGTGAGGAGGGAGAGGAGGGAGAAGAGGGAGAGGAGGGAGAGGAGGGAGAGGAGGGAGAGGAGGGAGAGGAGGGAGAGGAGGGAGAGGATAAAGGGTGAGGAGGGAGAGGAGGGAGAGGAGGAGAGGCAGCTAGGCAGAGGGAAATCGAAGAGGAATGGGAAGCAGAGGAGGGTTACATGGGGGGATGTGCGCAAGGGAGTGAATGGCAGGCGGGATGTAGAGGCAGGGGTTGATGGTAGAAGCAATGGTGGCGATGGCAGTAGTGACAGTGAGAGCAGTGCGAGTGGGAGTGACAGTGGGAGTGATGGTGGGAGTGCGGGTGGGAGCGAGAGTGACGGGGCTGAGGAGGGCAGCAGAGATGAGAGCGCAGAGGGAGGGGAGAGCAGGCGAGCTCACCCAGGTATCACAGCAGGTAGAGGGCAGCAGGCACGAAGAGGGGGCGGGGGCGCGGGCAGTGGGGTGAGCAGCAGCACATGTGGGGCAGGCAGCAGGTGGGGGAGGTTGCATCCAGGGCTGGAGTTCTTTGTGCAGGCAGAGGCAGCAGCCATGCAGGGCACCCCTGGGGAAGGTACATCTGTGCCGCTCCCTCATTCCCAGAATCTGGCTGAAGCAGTGGTGGCGACGGCACTTGTGGCGGCAGCAGTGGCCACTCCTGCTGCCACTGCTCGTGCTGCCACTGCTCCTGCTGCCACTGCTCCTGCTGCCACTGCTCGTGCTGCCACTGCTGATGCTGCCACTGCTGTCATTGCCAGGGAGGAGGCATTGGGTAACCTTGGGGGGGAGCCGCCCACTGCCGGCACTGCTGATTCTGCCACAGCGGCTAGTTCTTTTGCTGCTGCTGCTGCTGCTGCTGTTGGCAATAGTGGTACTCGTGATAATCAACATGCTGCTGAGTTTGGTAATGCTGGTGTTGCTGCTGCCACTGCCACTGCTGCTGCTGGTGCTGCTGGTGGCGGCATGGAGGCGATTGTGACACCAGGGGTGGTGAGAGCCATGGGGGGGATGGGGACCATGGAGACCCCAAGCAGGCAGCATGGCTCTCATCATCCACCCAGGATGGCTGCCACTGGCTCCGATGCTGCCATGGCGTTGGTGCTTCAACGACTGCAGTCAACCGTGCAGCTTCAGCCGTCCATGCCGATTCACGAGGGAAATTGGCTGTTGCAATATCTGTCATCGAATGTGCAGCAGGTGCAGCAACGGCACCAGCAGCAGCAGCAGAAGTGGGAGCAGCGGATACACCAGTTGACGCAAGCGCATGAGCCACAAGCACAGCAGCAGGTGCTGTTGCCGACTCATGAGGCGAATCAGCATCAGCTGATGCTACAGATACAGCAGCAGCAGCAACTGCTGCTCCAGCAGCAGCAGCAGCTTCAGCAGCAGCAGCAGCAGCAGCAGGTGCTACAGCAGTGCGTGCAGCAAGTAGCAGCAGTAGCCGTGATGCAAAGGCAGGAGATTCACGAGCTACAGCAGCAGGTGCAGCAACGACACCAGCAGCAACTACAATAACCATGAGTGGCAGGTACCGCCAAGCTTTTGACGTAGTATAGTGTAATTCGTTCATTATGATACGGTAGCTCCAAGAAACACCCTTGAAAAAAACACCCATTGCTGCCAATCTTCTACCACACCTAGTTGAAGTGAGGTTGGCTCGTAAATATGCGTGTGTAGTACGGATTGGAAGTCACTGATTGGGCTTTGAGCCAGCCAGGCCTCTTGTTGGACGGGTGAAGTACACTAGTGAAGTGACCCCTTTGAAGGTCCTCAGATTTCAGACTTCACGCTAATTCATCCCCTTTTCAGCATTTCTCAGCCTTTTTTTTTCCCATGCTGGGGCTAATTTATCAGCCTTCAGTTTAGGCACTTTTACCATGCAAAACCCCACGCCTGCATATGCCACCCAGGATTGTTATTGAGGGGGGAATACAGCAGCTTGGATTTCTAAGCACATACCAACCAGGACATTGGGCAGCAACATGTGATCTCATTCCTAGTGTACACTACCAGACTTAGCCAGCCATAAGCAAAGCTGGTTCCTGGCCTCGAAGCAATTGCATGCAGTTGCTCGCACCTCTGCTCCATCAACCCCCGGCCATCTGATGCCCCTCTGCCACTGCCGACCATCCCCTCCTTGCCCCCCGCCCATCTGTCTAGGGTCGCCCATTCTTCCCTTGTCCTCCGGCCCCTGCATAGAGGACACAATTGGTTCACACAGTTTCATTGCAACGGGAGGGAGCAAGTGGAGGGTAGGGCAGGTCATAGTGTAAGATGAGAGATGGGACAGAAAGAAGGTAGACCGTGCCAGTGCAGAGCCCGCTCCTCTTCCTGTAGCAGGCGTTCGACTCGCAAATACACAAAATGTCTCTGTTGCTGATTCCTTGGCAAACATGAAACTGGGCATCAGCTGGGCAGGAAGGTTTGCACTTGGCTGGCATCGTTGGGAGGTGGGGGGTGGAGGAAGAGGGAAAAGACCATGATGTTGAGAGAGTGAGGAGTGGTTTGAAAAGAGATGGGGGATAATAGCACCACAAGCACTCCAACTAACACTCGCCCATAAAAACCACAAGCACTCCAACTCACACCCACCCGCAAAAACCACAAGCACTCCAACTCACACCCGCCCACAAGCACTCCAACTCACACCCGCCCACAAGCACTCCAACTCACACCCGCCCGCAAGCACTCCACTTGCCTTCTTGCCCTCTTCCTCTATTCCCCTCTTGCCCCCTTTCCCTCTCTCTTCCATTTTTCCCTCCTGCCATCCTTTTCACTCGCCCACAGTGCAGAGCCCGCTCATCTCGGTGTGGCCGGCGTCACACAGACAAATCTCTTATATCGTCACACAGACAAGAGAAGCTGCCTGGCTGGTTCATTCTTTCATGTTGGAAAGCATGCAACAAAAGGCAAGGCACGTACGACGAGCAGCAGCGCGGCAGGTCTTCATGGCTGCGTTGAACACGAGGCCCTCGGGGCACTGGCACTGCTGCTGGCCGTCCTTCAGTGTGCAAGAAGTGCGGGGAAACGGGAAGACGTGTCCTCACACACTCACCCACACTGCGTGCACGAGTGTGGGTGAGTGTGTGAGTGTGGTTGAGTGTGTGAGTGTGGGTGAGTGTGTGAGTGTGGGTGAGTGTGTGAGTGCGGATGAGTGTGTGAGTGTGGGTGAGTGCACGAGTGTGGGTGAGTGCGTGCATGTGTCAAATGATATATATGTGTGATACATATTGGTAGGCTGTAGTGGGGTAGATGTTATAGGGGATAACCCCTTAGGGTTTTCCTACTTGTAAAATTTCTCTCGATAGTGAACACCACCTTGCCTAGCTATCTCAACATGGCATCTAGAGCAATGGTCCTAAGGACCTAAGATTGGGGCCCACCTACTCATGAGTTACTTTCCCTACAGCTATACCTACGTGCCTACCTTGCCTGCTGCCCGCGCGCGCCTCGGCTGCATGCGCGCGTGCATTTTTTTTTTAGCGCACCCCGCTGCCTTAGCCGCCCGCGTGCTCGCTGCTGTCACGCGCAGCTCGGCGCCGCGCGCAGCCCGCCGCCACGCGCGACCCGCCGCCGCGTGCAGCCAGTAGCCACGCGCAGCCCGCAGCCGCGCGCAGCCCGTCGCCGCGCGCAGCCCGCAGCCGCGTGCAGTCCGTCGCCGCGCGCAGCCAGCTGCCACGCACAGCCCGCAGCCGCGCGCAGCCCGCTGCCGCGCGCAGCCCGCAGCAGCGCGTGCCCTGCCCTGCCTGTGCGCCACTGCCTCGACCTGAGCGCTTAGCCGCCCGTGAGTCGTGCGCTTGCCTGCCTTACGCGCGGCCTGTCACAGAACTGCGTGCTTCCTTACCTGCTACAGTTGCCTGCTGCCTGAGCCTGCTGCCTGAACCTGCAGTCTTTGCCTGCTGCCTGAGCCTGCTGCCTGAGCCTGCTGCCTGAGCCTGCTGCCTGAGCCTGCTGCCTGAGCCTGCTACCTGAGCCTGCTGCCTGAGCCTGCTGCCTGAGCCTGCTACCTGAGCCTGCTGCCTGAGCCTGCTACTTTTGCCTGCGCTACAACCATGGCGACCCTTACTGTTCTCGCCTTTGAGCCTGACGGCCGCCCCATCGAGTTTGACACCTGGCTTAGTGACCTGCGCCTTTACCTTATGACTGACGTCGCAGACGGAGTGTCACTGCTAGCCTATGTGACCGGCACTGTCCCTACTCCTGCTGAGACTGCTCCTGCCCCTGAACGAGCACAGTGGGAGCTCCGCGATGCTGTCGCGCGCCTTGTTATTCGCAATCACCTACCGATCTCTGAGCGCGCGCATTTCAACCAGCTTAAGACTGCTAAGACGCTGTATGATGCTGTCGTTGCCCGCTATTCCGCCCCGACCACAGCCACCGTTGGTAGTCTCATCCTGCCTTACCTGTTCCCAGACTTAGCCTCGTTTCACACTGCTGCCGACCTTATCACTCACCTCCGCGCTAGTGACGCCCGCTTTCGAGCCGCTCTTACCAACGAGTTCCTCGCCACGAACACCCCCCCGCTGTACTTCACCC